GACTGGGGTTTTCCCCGAGTCGCCCGGCACGGGCAACATGGGGGTCGGGGTCCGTGTCCCGTCCACAAGTTAGATCTTAGAAGTCAGTAAGTGTTTATTGCTTATTATCGTTCGGTATTTGTAAAGCGGTTAGTACAATAAATTAACTGGTTTCTTTGCTACACCTTGTGTCGCCGGCGTCGGATCACAGCCCGTTGCTCCTCAAGTTCTCGCTAGAACAGGACATGCGGCCTTGCAGCAGCCGCCGGTACAAGTTGATGTGGGAGAGATCGCCGGTGCTCGAGGCCATTATCGCTAACTCTTGGTCAAGCAAAGGTACGAAGAGGAACCCGAGAGATGTAAGGGAGGCCCTTATTACTGTTGTGGCTGATCAACACACTAGAGAAGTCACGCACTAGGTTAGAGGAACTAACCAATCTGAATGCAGACCAAGCAGAAATAAGATAGGAGATGGACAATATGAATGAGTTGTTATACATGGAAGAAATGATATGGCCTCAGAGATAGCGGATTGATTGGTTAAAGGAGGACTGAGATCCAGTGACTGGCCTCTGGCCAGTCACGTCATAACTGGCGGGAGGCCAGCCGTTGGATGGAGGATGTGCATCCCAGGAGCGAACACTGCAGTAAAATCACTGTAGATGGTATTGTATGCGATCACTGTAGCTCGAGGACTGTTCACAAGTTCCTGTAGACGTTCCACTGTAGCTCAGGTACTGTTCATGAAGATCCATCCGTCGATTTTTGATCCAACAGTTTGAAGAGAGGGGCCAGGCACCGTACTGTTCACCGGTGACTTGTCCACAGCAAGTCACTGGATCTCAGTCCGTTAAAGGAAGGGGGCCGTTACACCAAGATATTTCATAGGAAGACAGTTTGGCGAGCGAGAAAGAATAAAATCCAAGGGCTGTCAGATGAGGCGGGTGTTATACACACCGAGCAGGCTACTATGTTACAACTAGTAAATAGTTGTTTTCATAATTTATTCACAGCCGACCCAATGTTGGATCCACATGATGTGTTACAGCTCATACAGCCCAAGGTGTATGTGGAGATGAACAATAATTTATGCAAGGAATTTACCGATGAGGAGATTTCTAATGCAATGTTTCAGATAGGGCCTCTAAAGGCGCCGGGGCCGGATGGGTTCCCCGCGAGATTCTTCCAGCGGCAATGGGCGGTGATGAAGGATGACATAATAAATGCGGTTAAATTGTTTTTTGCCTTTGGAGTCATGCCGGAGGGGGTTAACAGTACGGTCATTATTTTGATCCCAAGACCGACTCGCCATCCCACCTCATTGATTTTTGGTCTATCAGTCTCTGTAATGTCATATATATGTTGATAGCCAAATGCCTAGTAATAGATTGAGGCCTATTTTGGATGAGCAGGTGTCCCTGAAGCAGAGCACCTTTGTACCAGGCAGATTAATTACAGATAATGCTTTAATCGCTTTTGAGTGTTTTCATGCGATAAAACAGGAGAAGGTCCCGGAGCATAGCTTTTGCGCCTAAAAACTGGACCTGTCCAAGGCTTATGATCGGGTAGATTTGGTTTTCTTGGAGCGAATGATGCAACGGATGGGTTTCTCTCACCGATGGGTGGATTGGATAATGAGGTGTGTCACCTCGGTGAGGTATAGTGTGAAAGTCAATGGCTTCCTCTTGGATTCATTCACACCGTCTTGTGGACTACGGCAGGGAGACCCTCTCTCACCTTTCTTATTCCTTTTCGTCGCTGACGGTCTTGATGCTATTCTAAAATAGGAGATTACAACTAACTGCCTCACTCCACTCCGGGTGTGCGCCCAAGCTCCGGGTATCTCACGCATCCTGTTCGCGGATGACACCTTGCTGTTTTTTCGTGCTAATAGAGAGGAGGATGCTCAAGTCAAAGAAGCACTCGGTACATATGCTAGAGCTACCGGCCAGCTCATAAATCCAGATAAGTGTCATATAATGTTCAGCCACAAGTGTTCACAAGCTAACAAACAGAAGGTCATGCACAACCTGGACATGGTGAATACGAGATTTAAGGAAAAATACCTTGGCTTCCCAATGCCTAGTGATCACTTTTCAAAAGGGAAACTACACAATCTTGAGGAGCAAATGACAAAGAGAATTATTCAGTGGGGGGAATTGATGTCCCAAGAAGGACGTGAGGTACTTATTAAGGTGGTTGTGCAGGCCCTATTCCTTATGAGCTTGTTTAAATTCCCTAGAAGCACCTGTGGTGATCTTGGGCGGATGATTGGTAGCTATTGGTGGGGCGCATACAGAGGCAAGATGAAAATGCGCTAGAAATCTCGGGACTCGCTGCTGAGGCCCAAGTCAGCTGGTGTATGAAATTCAAGGACTTCAGACTTAACCAAGAAATGTTAGCTCGGCAAGCATGACGTACTTTGATCAAACCGGAATGTTTTTGTGTGCACGTTTTGAAGGCAAGGTATTTCACTAATGGACGATTAGAAGATACTATCTTCACTAGCAACACGTCGCAAACTTGGCAGTCCATTGTGCATGGGTTAGAACTTCTGAAGAAAGGCTTAGTCGATCTAGCGCATCGGTAACAGACAGTCGGTAAGAATTTGACGGGACTCGTGGATACCACACCCTGTTGGCCGGCCACCAATCACGCAACAGGGGAGGTGCAGTCCCCGCCGAGTTTCAGAGCTCCTGGACAAATGGTGCATGGCGCGGAACCCTACTTCAATAATATCTATGCCCGTTGATGTTCAGGAGATACTGAAGATTAAAGCGTCCCCTCGGTTGGGGGCGGATTTCCTTGCATGGGGTGCAAAACGTACAGGTATCTTCACCGTACGTAGCGCATACCGGCTGGCGCTTGAGGACAAGCTTCATCCCTCTTCAGTCGCAACGAGCAGGGCACCAGATAGGCGATGTGTCGGGCATTATTATGGAGGTGCCCTGCTCCTCCTAAGGTCTATGTGTTTGCATGGCGTTTGGCTACTAACTCCCTTGCCACAGTGTCTAATAAATTCACTCGGCACATGGAGGTTACTGATATATGCCCATTATGTAGTCTCGAGCGCGAGGACACTTTTCATGTGTTTTGTAGGTGCCCACGGGTTGTGCATTTGTGGCGGACTATGGCGGAGGTGGGGAGCATACCAGACATCGAGTCAGTCCGCAACACCAGTCTGGAGTGGCTCCTGGACCTTATTGCAGAATGTAATGAAGGGAACCGGCTGCGCCTGAATATGATGTTATGGATGTATTGGCATGTGCGTAATGAGACCACTCATGACAAGCCAGCGCCGCCCATGGAGGTATCTCGTCGTTTTTTGCAGAGCTACATGACCTCGCTACTCGGGATCCAATAGTATCCGCAGGGAGATTGGGACAAAGAGAAGATGGCCATCCATCAAGAAGGTGTAGAACATCCTATATCGCATGTGAGAGTTGTGCCACGAACAGCCCGCAAACGGAATCCCCCTCCCGCCAAGTGGACGAAGCTGAATGTCAACGGTTCCTTTTCGCATGATGACGGGAGGGCTGGGGCAGGAATGGTGCTCCGCGACCAAGAAGGGGACATCATCTTCTCTATGTGTCGCTCGTTATGATCATGCCCGGACCCTTTGCATGCCGAGCTGGCTGGGTACATGGAGGGCATAGCATTGGCCCTCCAGTGGACGGAGTTGCGGTTCATCGTCGAGAGCGATAGTCTGCAGGCGGTGCAGCTAATCAATGCCTCAGGCCAAGACCGCTCACAGTACAACATGGTGGTTTCAGAGGTGAAGCGTATTATGAGTGAAAGAGAGTGTCGTGTTGTTCATATTTCTCGAGGGCAGAATAATGTAAGCCATATGTTGGCCAACTTTGGGAGAACGGAATACCGTACTGTGGTCTGGCTCCGCTCCGGCCCGGACAATATCCCTAGCTTGTGTAGAGAGGACCTTCTTGGCATTTGAGTAATACAAATCCCTTAAACCCCACAAAAAAAAAATTAACTAGCTGGTACCCCTTAAAATGTTGAGTACACATCGAGAACATCTCAAGCCTTTCTCTCAATCTTTTTTAAAATCCTAAAAAAATGTGAGGAGTTATGCTCATTCTTGCCCTTGGTTCAAATATTTAACTCCTCAAAATTTTGAGAAGTTACTCTTTAAACTTGGCTCTCCCTCCTCAAATTTGATTAGAAGAAAGATATTCGACCTAAACTCTGTCACTTACACGATTCTCTCTTTTTCTTGGTGGGCACCCAACCGTTGCCAACCTTCTCCCCAGTGCCACCTCCACACTTGCCATCGGATGCCGCGACCTCAATCCGCTGCACTAACCTCGGTGTAATGTATTAGATGCACGGGTCGAGGTTGATGCTGACTTATACCATTGAAACTTGTCGCTCCAGGCATAAGTTGTGAGTTTTTAAGACTTGTACTTTATGTACTCCCTCCATAAACGAATAGGAGTATATGACATTTTAGATCACTAAAGTAGTGACCTAAAATGTCTTATATTTGCTTACAGAGGAAGTACTTTTTACACACCCACTCCGTGCCTTTTGTCCTATTGTAGTGGATAAAGTATTTTTAAACGGTGTTGGGTGTTGGGTGTTGGCTCATCATGAATACTGAAAAGGAATCAAGTGTTTATGAATTTGGTTGGGTGCAAACCAAATGAAGGTCTAGCAATTTTCCTAGGTACAATAGCTGTAATCCTACTAACAATGACTTGCCAAATTTTGTTCATGATTTTACTTTGGTGGTGTCGAAATTTCGGATGGGCTAGTTTTTCTTTTTTTGCGGGGCTCAAACCAAACACACAATTATTTCCTAATGTGACATTTTCGTCAATTTGCTCTACTAACTGTGTTAGGAGTATCCCCGCAAAACAATAGTGTTAGGAGTAAAATATTATTAGAATCATGTATTATTTTCAAATCAAATGCTCTTTGAAGCACCAGTGGTCTAGTGGTAGCGCCACGGCTAGTGCACTTTTTTTAGTCCTTTCTTTATATTTTAGTTATTTCTTCACAGTTCATCTGATCTCTTTTATCGCATGTGCTCGAAGGGACGAGAGGTCGACAGAAGCTACATCATAAGTAGCCATCGACGAGGTGACATCAGAGATATACTTAGATAAATCAAGGTGTGCTTGGGCCAGCAGTTGGTTGTCGTCCCACTCGTCGCGGTAGCTCTCTGGCCGGACCGACACCCTCGCTCTCCCCGCGGCGTATATCACCCTCCTCCACTCCTCCATCTTCTTCAGACCGCACTGCTCTGAGAGCCAGTCCTCATACTCAAACTGCAACACGCCAAAACAAATTATGTATATAAGTTTACTATATATAAGCATCAACAGTATGGACGACGTGTATACATAGCATAGGTACACTGCACGGACCGTCCATGCTTCCACTCCCAGGTTGTGGGTGAATTTTTTGGGCCATCCGCGGACTTCCATGTTTGAGTAAAATGCCGTGACATCCAGCATCATCTCCTCCGGCGACGGGAGCTCAATCCTTCCTGACAGTGCTCCCGCCACCCAGTTGCTCTGGAGTCGGAACACTGGAAAAAGGATCGACTAGACAGACACATTGAGATCCGCATCAAACATTTAAGGTATGGAATACCAGTTCCAATGGTATGCATATTAAGCTACTGATCGGCCGACCGACCTTGAATGGCAATCCGATGAAGGAGATGTGAGGGGCCAGGTGTGGCGGGAACACGTGCTTGTAGAGCGGACCCACACGAGCGTCGTCCACGCTCACTATACCATCCTCCTCCTCCAGGAACGGGAACCTATACTTGTACCTATGATCGTTTGTAGATAAAATGTACATCCATCAACATATGCAATCACCAACCATGTAACTATGTTAGAAAACGATTGCATCCGGAATTAGTTTGTGATGACATATATACAGATAGATATACTTACCCAGTGCAGTGTACGATTGCGTCTGCCTTTACCCGGCTGCCATCCCGGAACACCACGCTGCCATCTTCCTCGGCAAATTCAATCTGCAATAAACAGTAGATCTCTAGCTCGAGGTGGTGTGGTAAATGGGTTTGGGCGTGATGATGATATTACATAGTTTTTTTTTCTGAAATGGTCGGGATGTGGTCACACAAAGCGTGAAGACAGGTAATCACGCCATTGGCGTGACCCTTAAGCACAAGCACATCAGTTTTTAACCTATGTGACCACAGAGCATAGAGTAAGATCTCCGATAATATCCCTGATTGTGGTTTATGTATCGGCCTCTATGTCTTGGAAGACCTTGTTTCTTGCGTCTCAGATTTTCCACATAGTAAGAAGCAAAATGAAGTTGACGATTGTGTCTCACAGGAAATTTAGCATCGTAATTGAGAATAATGAAGTTGCTAGATTGTAGTGCCAACTACTCCCTTTGTCCTTTAATATAAAATGTTTTTACAAGTTATATTAATTTAAAAAAAATCTTTTATATTATGGGACGAAAGGAGTAATTACCATGGGATGTAGCCACAAGTTGGCATGGGCAGTAGCACTCTGCATCTCAGCAGGTGCTGACCGAATGGCGACGTGGACCTCTTTGGCGACGCCAGCAATGTCCCGCGAGATGTCCATCCCGCTGGGGTTGTATCCTATGATCACCACGACCTAAGCTAGCCACCAGTAAGATACGATTAGCTGTATCTCCTTCCATATGTGCTGCCGGCCGGTCAGAAATTAACAAGCAATTCAGGTGATGCAAACGTTGTTCAAACTTTTACAAAATATTAACATTTACAAACGTTGTTCAAACTTACTGTGTATACTAGATTTGTCTTAAGTCGTATTTTATAAATGTTGTTCAAACTTATAAGAAATATTAACATTTACAATACGAAATGTCGAAATCAATACCATTAGATTCGTCATTGAATATATTTCCACATTATGCATGCTTATTTACTGTAAATAGCCATATTGTTTTCTATATACATGGTCAAACTTTTAAGTAATAAAGTGTCCTTTTTCGAAAAATATACATGATCAAACTTTATAAAGATGGACTTAATTAGGACAAAACTAATATGCAAAGTAAAATGGAAACGGAGGGTGGGTAGATGAGACGCACTTGGCCGTGGAACGGGTCGGGCACACGGTAGCTGTGGCTGTGCATCTGCTTCCCGGGCCAGCCGCCTATGCCTGCACATCATTCATCTCGCTACATCGATCCATCGCCATGAAAATGCCTACTAGTAACTTCACTGACCAGTACCGCGTGCATACACAGTATGTAACATGACTGGCATGGATCGATGCATTACCGGCAATGTCCGCCAGGCGAGGCTCGGCGAAGTGGCCGTTGCAGACGACGACGGCGTCGAACACCTCTGACTGCTCCCCCTCTAGGTCGCTTCCGGCGCCGGCGAGCTTCCTCGAGCAATACGACACACTCCAGCCCGCGGCGCCTGCTTCGTCACAGCTGCGGCGGACGCCGACCACCTCCGTCTGGAGCCGGACCAGCCTGAGGAGATCGAACCGCCGCGCGAACGCCTCGAGGTACCCGAGCACCTCCTGGTGCCCGGGGAACCTGCGCGGGTCAACGGAGCCCTCATCGGCGACGAAGGGGAAGTCGAGGAAGCCCATGCACTCGCGGGGCAGGTTGGTGCGGAGGGACGCGTAGAGGCTCCCGTGGACGCCACCGGCACCGAGCGGGTCCGCCGAGGCCGCGTCGTCGTAGCGCCAGGTGCCGCCCACGCCGGCTGCGCGCTCGAAGACGACAGGCGCGTGGCCCTCGCGCCGCAGCTCGCGCGCCGCCACCAGGCCGGCTGCCCCCGCGCCGATCACGGCGACGCGCGACGATGACATCGGAGGAGGAAAAGTCTCCAAGTCTCAGCTGGTCTGCTCTCTCGTCGTCGGGTGTGTCGTCTTTTTCATGTGGAGCAGTTGATCGAGCTGGCCATTTTCCTCCATTCGCGCGTTAATCTTTAGTTTCTCTATAAGACTACCAGTTGCTTCTCCTAGTATATTTTGGACCAGCTAGACCCCTAGAGGTCAGTGCTCAAAACAAATTTGGGGGCAGTTGACTGACCAGAAACTTGTTTTAGTCGTCTTCACCGTTTCGAAAGCATTGAGATCCAAGCGCGTACAGGACTACATCAGCTGCTTGGCAGGTCCATTAGCTAGGAATGTGTGTAGCATGTCTGTTAGAGCATCTACAATCATGAGAGTCAAGTTTGGCTTCCTATAGTCCCTGGACAGTGATCGATCACCCATTATTTGTCTCCCGAATCCATACAACCATGCAATGTGAGATGAACATAGGTCACATTTGAACATTGCATAGATCCGGTTTTGCAATCGGACCAAAAATGTATAGGTTCGTCACCACACCTAGATACAAACGTAGATAAACGGAGGGGGAGGGCGCCAGACTTCACCACTTCCTCACAAGTCCATTCTTCTTGGGGTCACGGGAGTGCTGGTTGTGCTCCTCAGCGTAGGTGTCCGCCGCCGGAGGGGAGTCATTGTTGTGTCTCTCGGCATGCCACTATCAAACAAGGAGGAGAAGGAGGAGGAGGAAGAGATGATCCCAACTGGATGTCGGGCAACGCAAGTCCTTGGACACACCAGTGCAGAACCGGGCATCATCACCGGTTCGAAAGGCCCTTTAGTGCCGGTTCTCTGACCGACACTAAAGGGTGTGGACTAAAGGTCCCCCCTTTTATAGTACCGGTTCAGCATGAACCGTCACTAAAGGGCCACCACGTGGCACGAGCCAGCGTCGGGGGCGTAGAGTCCTTTTGTACCGTTTGTAACACCAACCGGTACTAAAAGGCTTGAGAGTTCTGATTTTATTATTTATTTTTTCTTTAATTTTGTGTTTTCCATTTAATTTAGAGATTTTTTACATTATAATGAGTTATTAAATCATTAGGTGAAAGAACCGCGGATTAGTATTAAGTGGATGGATCCTAAGTGATCAAGTAATATGTATTATCCATATATATTACTTGATCAATTAGCTAGGATTGTTGCCCCATGTCTCCTAATCGTGGGTCGCGCTTCTGATTGCTGCCCCCTAATACTTCTCTGTGATCTTTCATAATTTTACTCCAGTCTTTCACTATTAAGCATTCCTCGGTTTTAGAAATACTAAATGCACTCATGTGCGTTGTAGGATGTCTTGGCCGTAAACTAACCATTGACATGCGACCGTTAGTCTCGATCCACTGAGGCACAACTATCACCGGGAGTCTCTGTTGAAGAATATCGTATAGTAACATACTTAGTAATGAAGTTTGGCTTAAACAATAATGTATGCAAAAGATGCACCGAGGACAAATAGTAAAAAAATCTTACCATCTTTTCTAAATAGATGTGACCGTAGTTCAATACGAACACTATTGTTCGCACGTTTTAAGTACTAAGATTTGAAAGTCCAGGAAAATAATTCCTCTTGACAGCATCAAGATCTTCAAGCCATGAAACACAATAAGTTATCTCCTCGCAGTTTAGTTCAGCCCCGGGACAGCGGTCGGTCGTGTCTACCAAGCGCCGAACATATTTACTTGAACGGAAATAAGTTGTCAATAGAAATTAGTTGTCAACTTTTTTGAATAAACAATATCAAAGACATAAATATGGTTGAGAAACTCACATAATGGTAAAACTGAAGGCGTCTGCACATCGACTCAGGTGTCGATATTACCTTCAATATCATCTTCCGGACGAATATAAAAAGTGATAACCATATCAGGCTCAAATGCATAAGCCTTGTATAATTTTGCGTAGAAAGTATAACCATACTCGGTCTTCAAGTAAACTCTCTTTATTTCCATAGTTTTCATAGGACTGAAACCAATCTTATCCAAGACAAAAATTCTTGCATGGCAGGGGATACGCTAGTAGAATAGTAAAAATTTAAAATTATAAGTTGAAGCAAATGAAGTATAAGTCGTGCTTAATTACGAAAAAAGACTTGTCGTTGTGACTTATTGTATCCACTTCGAATATCTCATCCAGCTTGATGCTGAAGCACCTACCATCAACTAGGAAATTTATGTCGCACATGTCGCGCTCATCTTCATAGTATTCGCACATACCGAAATCCTTTTCGTTGTCAGACATTTTCTATGCTCATAGTTCAAACATTAATTGATAAACACTTACTAGTTCTATTAATTCAACTAATTCAACTAGTTCTATTAATTCAACTAATTCAACTAAGCACTTACTAAAAATAAACTAGTTCTATTAATTTTCTTACTAAAAATAAACTAGTTCTATAGTAAAATTTTAATTAATTGGATCATATAGGGAGGGGACTGGGACTGGCGCGACGGGGACGGGGACGGGGACGGGCGCGACGCGACGAAGCAGATGAAGAAGAAACTAACTAAAATTTCCGTAAGTGCTATATATATAGGAAGGGCCTTTCGTACCGATTGGAGCCACCAACCGGTACTAAAGGTCAAATTTGGCCAGGCCAAACAGCGGGAAGCGACCCCCTTTAGTACCGGGTCATGGCTCGAACTGGTACCCCCTTTAGTACCGGTTGGAGCCATGAACCGAAACTAAAGGGGTGCGCTGGCGCAGGTGCGGTGCTGCAAATTTAGTCCCACCTCGCTAGTCGAGGGGCGTCCGCACTGGTTTACAAACACCAGTATGGTAGCTCTCTCAATCTCCTCTCTATAGCAGGCTTCCGGACCTAATTTTGCCGCCCTGCCCTGTGGGCCTGCTGGGCCTTATGGGCCTGCATCCTGGCCCAGGGACAAGCAGGTCCACTGGCCAGCGCACAAAGGTGTTTTTTATATGTAGTTTTTTTTCTTTTCTGCTTTATTTATTTCTGATTTGTTTTTTGCTATATTTAGAGTTTCTTTGTGAATATTTTTTCTTTGGGTACAAAAAATTACAAACTTTCTATTAGTGCCAGTAGTTTTCAAGTTTGAATAGTTTAAATTTGAATTATTTGAAATTTGTGTGAATCACTAGTTTGTGAATAACTTAACTTTAAAAATAGATTTTTTTGTGATTCTTTTTTCTTATGTTTAATATTAGTGTGTTTCATCACTAGTTTGGAGCCAAGAACCGGTATTAAAAGGGGTGCGCTGCCACCCTACGATGCACACAGTTTAGTCCCACCTCGCCAAGCGAAAGGCAGCCACATTGATTTATAAACACACAATGGACAAAAAGTCTGGAGTTGAAATAATTTAAAAAAATGAAGTGCCTTTGTAACAGATGTGTTTTCGTCTGAAATCCTGATACTTCGAAATAGATTGTCCAGTTTGTACACGAAGTGCATCCAATTTTTGCCGTAACCGTCTCTACTTTTTTGCACATGCTATGTGTGTGAAATAATGATACCATGCCAAGTTTCAACCTTTTCAGAGTTCATTTGTAGTGCTTTTCAATTTCAGGGTCATTTAGCTCTAAACAAATTAGTAAATACATAAAAAATAGAAAATAAAGGCAGAAAGGGTTGAAAGTTGATGACATGGCTTTGAATGGTGCATAATGAACGCACACAAAGTCTGGAGTTGTAATAAGTTTAAAAAATGAAATGCCTTTTAACAGATGAGTTTTCGTTCGAAACCCTTATACTTCTAAAGAGATTGTCCAGTTTTGTACATGAAGTGCATCCAATTTTTGCCGTAACCGTCTCTACTTTTTTGCACACATGTTATGTGGGTGAAATGATGATACCATACCAAGTTTCAGCCTTTTAGAGTTCATTTGTAGTGCTTTTCAATTTCAATGTCATTTAGCTCAAAACAAATCAGTAAATGCATGAAAAATATAAAATGAAGACAGAAAGGGTTGAAAGTTGATGACGTGGCTTTGAATGGTACATACTGAACGCACACAAAGTCTAGAGTTGTAATAAGTTTTAAAAAATGAGTGCCTTTGTAACAGATGAGTTTTGGTCCGAAACCCTGATGCTTCGAAAAACATTGTCCAGTTTGTACACGAAATGCATCCAGTTTTTGTCGTAACCCTCTCTAATTTTTTGCACATGTTATGTGGGTGAAATGATAATACCATGCCAAGTTTCAACCTTTTCAGAGTTCATTTGTAGTGCTTTTTCAATTTCAGGGTCATTTAGCTCAAAACAAATCAGTAAATGCATGAAAAAAAATAAAATGAAGGCAGAAAGGGTTGAAAGTTGATGACGTCGCTTTGAATGGTGCATACTGAACGCACGCAAAGTCTGGAGTTGTAATAAGTTTTAAAAAATGAAATATCTTTGTAACAGATGAGTTTTCGTCCGGAATCATGATACTTCGAAAGAGATTGTCCAATTTGTACACGAAGTGCATCCAGTTTTTGCCGGAACTCTCTTTACTTTTTTGCACATGCTATGTGAGTGAAATGATGCTACCATGCCAAGTTTCAACCTTTTCAGAGTTCATTTGTAGTGCCTTTTTAATTTCAGGGTCATTTAGCTCAAAATAAATCAGTAAATGCATGAAAAATAGAAACGAAGGCAGAAAGGGTTGAAAGTTGATGACGTGACTTTTAATGGTGCGTACTGAACGCACAAAAAGTCTAGAGTTGTAATAAGTTTAAAAAATGAAGTGCCTTTCTAACAGATGAGTTTTCGTCCGAAATCTGATACCTCGAAAGAGATTGTCTAGTTTGTACACGAAGTGCATCCAGTTTTGCCATAATCATATCTAATTTTTTGCACATGCTATATGGGTGAAATGATGATACATGTCAAGTTTCACATTTTCAAAGTTTATTTGTAGTGCTTTTCAGAGTCATTTAGCTCAAAATAAATCAGTAAATGCATGAAAAATAGAAAATGAAGGCAGAAAGGGTTGAAAGTTGATGACGTGACTTTGAATGGTGCATAATGAACG